CATATAAATCCTGTGTAATAAAGATAAAAGAAAAGGAATTGTTGGTTAATTTAATACTCTTAGAAATTCAAGATTTTGATGTAATCTTAGGCATGGATTGGCTTTCTGCATACCATGCAAGTATTGATTATTACAAGAAAATGGTTACCTGTAGTATTCCGGATCAACCAATATTTTATTTCAATGGTATCAAAAAAGACTCCCCATCATATTTAATCTCCTGTATTCGAGCTAATCGCCTCCTTAGAAAAGGGTGTCAAGTCTTTCTTGCCTATATCAAAGAAGATAAGAAGGAAGAGATAAATTTGGATACCATTCCGGTTATCCCAGAATTTCTCGACGTTTTCCCTAAAGAATTGGCAGGATTACCACTTGATAGGGAAATTGAATTCTCTATTGAATTATTGCCAGGGGTAGCCCCAATTTCTAAGGCACCATACAGAATGGCACATGCAGAACTTAAAGAACTTAAACAACAATTGGAAGAATTATTAGATAAAGGTTTTATCAGGCCCAGTGTGTCATCTTGGGGCGTGACTGTGGCGATCACATAAAACTCTAGTTGCACATCTCCACTTTGCCGACCAAACTCTAATTCTATGTGTGACATCTTCCTCAATTTCTTCATTATCTTGGATTATCGACCCAAGATATTGAGATGTTCTTCTTACCATTATGAACGAATTGGGCATGCATTCCATACATGAACCAATTTGAGGGGGGATGTTGAGAGTTGTATGTTAGTGCTCATTTTTCATATTATTATGCATATGTAGGTACAATGACACACATGGGATTTTATCATTCTTTAGGACTGATTAGTCCTTTTATAGGACTATATTGTCCTTTGTAATTTATTTTTATATAGATATGTAGGAGATAGGTGATCTCTGTCTCTCTCTCTCTCTCTTGTTGAATTTTCTCTCTCCTGCAGCATTCTTCGTTCTTTCTTAGAGATCTAGCTTCACAAACATGACTGTAAGCTTGTGTACAATAGATTTGCTTATAAGAATAGTAAGTTTATGTAGGTGTTTATGCATAAATATGCACATTGTTTCTTTTTTTGTTATTATTATTATTATTTATCTTTTCACATTGTTTTTGCCAAAATTTTCATATTCATTAAACCAAATTGGACATGACAGATTAATAGATTATGTTCGTCCTACATAATAAGCAAGACAATCATTATATCTAAAGAACATGTACTTTTTTATGGTATTTCATGTCTTCAGATGCCTTTGACACAGAGCAGTTACTTTGTTGCATGGAGAAGTTGCAACATGGGCAAGCTGTTGATTTACCAAACTATGATTTTAAGAGTCATAAGAACTACACCCTACCTGCAAGAAGGGTACGTATCTCTCTATGTTTCTTTAAGATTGTGAATCACTTCAAATTCAATTGAAAAGGCTATTTAATATGACTGGCACCATAAAACATATGAAAGAAATTTGAAAATTGTTGTGTCCTTATTATATTTAGATTGTAATTCTGATTTAATTTACAGGTGAATCCTGCTGATGTTATAATTTTAGAAGGAATACTAGTTCTTCATGATCCACATGTCCGTGAGTTGATGAATATGAAGATATTTGTTGATACAGGTTCTACTTTCCAAACCTTTCCTAAAATTTGTTTAGAGGATGACTAGTTATTAGCACTGCTCTGTGCCTTAAATTAATGACTCAGTGCATTTTCCCAATAAATTCATCACTGTGAAACATAATGAAGTTTTAATAAACTGACCTGATATTTCATGAAACTATTCTGTCAATGCCCAGAGGGTTCTTGCATCTTCTCCCTACAATACTCAGAGCCTTCCCAGATTTGGCGTTTTGGGCTCATTAATATGGTAATCGATCCTTGGGTAGAAGATCAAGTTAAGACAATCCTCATAGGGTCCACACTAACTACACTAGCGATTATATAATCCCAGTCTCACATCTGACATAGCTTCTGGGTGATATTCTTGGATTTGGATTGAAAAGATGATGTAAATTGAAGCAGTATGTTAGTTTAATTTTTGATGAGCCATATATCACGATTGGCTATTTCCTGCATTCTCAACATGCATCCCTCTTTTGGGTGAGGTTTCTGGGCTCTACCAGTTTTGTGCCCCATCCTGTTGCACATCCTGGTTAACTTTTAACCAATTTGATGTGCCTAATTAGGTAAGTTTTCGAGTCATCTTGAGTCAAATGGCATAGATGATATATATTATGTATTCTAGCGAACCTAAAACCAAGATGCCCGCTGTTTGGGTTATGGTTTCCTTGTCCTCCATGTGACTTTAAGACATCATTCGATAGATGTTATCAAGGCTTTCTTCGTTAGGGACCTTTAAGTTACACGTGGCAGCCAGAATATTTGGTTTCCCAAGCCCAAGCTAGTTTCTAAACTCCAGAAAACTCCATATAATACCAATCATCTGATATTATAAATACAAAGTTAGGATACTAGTCTGTCCTTCTTGCATTATTGTTATAGCATTTTCTGCATGTACAACTTTTGATTGGTCTTCCATACTTCTTGCAAAATTTTATCGTACTATTCATCCTTCATATTGGCAATTATTCTAGGATAGAAATCATTGGAGCCCACCCATTGCAATGGAGTTGTATGCACAAAAGTTTAATATTTTTATTGAGTTATATTTATGGGAAAAGAAAAGTTTATATAAGGTTGCAACCTTAAAATGTAGAATCACAAATGCACCTCAAAAATCTATCGGAAATGTTGTTTTAGTGTTGAAAAATCCTCTAATCGATCATCTCGACGTCGAGATGTATGAATATGAAAAAAAACAGAGTTTTTGAGTCTAAAAAATAGTGCATCTTGTAACACATTATCTAGACCGTCCATTTTCAAGATTTTCATATATTTATATATCTACTTGATTTTAACCATTTTTTGAATTTAATTTTTTTTAATTAGATATGAAAGTAGATTTTAAGATAATCCTAAGAAATTTTTACAACAAAATTACATGTTATGATAAAATTTGGAGGTGCACCTTAATTGAATTGTTCAAGGTTGCAATCTTGTAGAAACTGCACCCTATATTTATTTCCTGTCTTGTTTCGATCTGGTACTCTAATTATGTTCATTAAACAATGTGGCAGTGCAGATGCTGATTTGCGTTTGGCAAGAAGGATAAGGCGCGATACAGTTGAAAGAGGAAGAGATGTTAGATCAGTACTTGACCAGGTTGGGAATTGTTATCCGTCCTTCTTTGATGCATTATTCAACAAAGTTCTCTTACACCATTCACAATGAACTTTATAATTTATTCATGATACTCGTTTCATTTCAATTCACATAAATTATGGTCCACATCATAATTTTATCGGAATCAATTTGGACAACACAACTTACAGCTCCCCTATTCTTGGGAATCTTCCAAACTCTCCCCACTAATCCCTCTTCAAATACCCAGGTAGGTACTTAAATTAGAAGGATAGTCTGGCATGTCAGGACACAAAACTCTGAAGTCTTTCCATGCATATGAAATATGGAAGTTATAACATAATGTAGGAAAAGAAGTTAACAATCTTACCAATCAGAACTGAGAGAGTGAACAACTCTTTATTACATAGGCAGAAACACTGAAGCCAAACTCAAACATGGGGCAACGTTTAGAATTTTTGGCATGGACATTGATCAAATATTATTATAGTTGTTCCAGTGAGCACTATTCTGTTAGTATTACAGCTCTACAATTCTGTTGGTCACTAAGTTTGGCAGGTGCTTATTTATACTATATTGCTATACATAGTTTTCCCTTTCTTTCTAGGCAGCCTGGGTTTTGTTGGTTCTCGCCTCTTTGTATTATTAGTAAATATGCTTAATGGGTACAATTTGGTGCACAAGATGTGCCCATATCACTCAAGTCAGAGTATAACATTCAGAATAAAATGTACTTCACTGCAATGTGAAAGTCAAGTTTGGGGGTTGTGGGATAGAGAGGTTAATTCCCTCCTCTCCTTGGACTTTAGAGAATAACATGTGATTAAATTTGAATTAGGCGTTGATAATGTGCGGCAAAGTATTCCATATATTCTATGAAAATTTTATTTTAGTGATATGGTTTCTTTTATTTATTTCTTTATTTGTCTAAACTTACAAAACTACCATTTGTAATTTTGCTCACATTTGTCTACCATCACAGTATTCAAAGTTCGTGAAGCCAGCTTTTGATGATTTTATACTTCCTTCAAAGAAGCATGCCGATATCATCATCCCACGAGGAGGAGACAATCACGTAGCTATTGACTTGATACTCCAACACATACTTACAAAACTTGGGCAACACAATCTATGCAAAATATATCCTAATGTTTATGTTATTCATTCGACTTTCCAGGTGCTGATGCAAACTGGATATTTTTGGCTTCTTTGCTCTCCATTAAATTCTTTTTTTATGTTTCTGGTTACATAATTCTTAAATGCGGGTTCTTTATTTTTCATTTTTCTATTATTGTCTCGTATATTTGTTAACTCCATGGCTCCATTGTATTATTCATGTCTTTGAGATTAATGATGGTTTCCAGCTTGCCTCAGATACGTGGGATGCATACATTAATACGTGATGTGAAAACTACGAAGCATGATTTCGTCTTTTACGCAGATCGATTGATTCGTCTGGTACATGGTTACTTCCATATTTTTTTCTAGATTTTTTTGGCTGCTGCAGTTTAACTTGCATCACTCAATAATTTAATTTGTTCTTCAGGTTGTGGAGCATGGACTTGGTCATCTCCCATTTACTGAAAAGCAAGTGACTACTCCAATTGGTTGGTGTTGTAACTTCCTTGGAACGACAAATTATTATGTGCTGCTTTCCTTCATTCTAAGACTAAAACTGAATGAAATTTTTTAAAAATAGATAGAATAAAATGTCCTATGGTAGCTTCTGTCTCCACAGGATGTTAACATTTACAAATCAAATTCTTATTCAAAAAAAAATTTAAAAATCAAATTCGGGTTGGAATCTGGATTTGGATAAAGGGCTTGAGTCAGGCAGGACAAGTTGGAAGTAGGTAAAAAGTGAAGGGAGCCTAGGCTCTAAACAAAAATTTCACCTGAGGAGGCTGTTTATATGCCCAAATATCTTTAAATTGATCATCTCAACCTCAAGATGTATGGACATGAGAAAGAAATAGATTTCAAGTTTTGAAAATAGTGCATTTTGTAATGCATTTTTTGATTGTCAATATTTCAATATTTTCAAGTTTTCTTAGGTCTCCTCGATCTATACTATTTTTGAAGTTTTAAATTTTATAATTAAAGATAAAAATATATTTTAAGGCTATCACAAAAATTTCCAGTAGTGAAACCACATCTCGACACTATTTGAAGGTGGGCTCTAATTTGATCGTTTAGAGCCTCGGCTCTATACAAACTGCACCCAACAGTGAATACTTTCTTAGTTTATATAACAAGCAAATAGAAAGTCGGGAAAAAGTTGGAATGTTTAAGTCAGGCACCACAAAACCTACTTGACAGGGCAACAGGAGTTGAGTCAGACTGCAAATTTAAGCATTGGTTGACAGTGATCAACCTGTTGAAATTGCCGTTGAATGGAATACTTTATGTATATTTAACATGAATGCTGTTTACATGATCATCCAAAGTCTATCTATGTGTGCTTGATTATCTATTCAATGTAGTAATGGATTGAGTCATGATCAGAATCTGCATTACAGTCAGATCTTCTCACCGTTTTTAAACTGTTGCTGAGGAAAATATCTTTGACAGTAGTCAAACTGTCAAAAGTAATTGTCTTTGTTCTTTTTTCTGTTTTTGTTAAGAATAAGAGTGGTTAAAATGAAATAAGACGAAGCTAAAGTTTGTGGGATTGCGAACTTATGATTGTATGGTAGACCAAGCTTTCACATGGTTATTAATACTTCCATATTAAGTAGAAAGAGAGATCTGTCACTCTAAACCACCATTACAGACAACTTACACTATGCCAACCTCCAAATAATTTCAATTATATGCATCTCGTAGGGTAGTGCGCAACAAATTCTCCAAGTGATTTCTTGTCAAGTAGCCCCCCTGTTACCTATGTTGGTCCTCATTAGATGAGTTTGCTGTTCCCACTGATTGTCCCAAGAAAAATAAACCAAGGCTCATTAAACCTGACAAAATGTATCATAAAATTGGCTTGAATCAATGTGTGTTTGGGAGCATGGCTTTGTCTTACTATCTTGATTGTTCTCTCACACTTATTGGAATTTACATCTAGCAGTAATTGTAATTGCGTATTGGAATTTGCTAGTACTTCTGATTTGTAGGATACATCATTATTATGATTCGGCTGGTTACAAATCAAAACCAGAGGAATTGGTTTATGAGAAAGTACCTGTTAGCTTAGAAAATTCGAGACTCAAGCAACAAAATAACAAAAAATAACTGAATATAGTCGTGATTGAACAAATAAGTAGGCCATAGTTTGTGTAAAAGATGGTCAATTAAACAAGTTCAAAATAAATAGCAAAAGTGCAGTCATGGATTCCCGAGACAGTGTTCCTAAAATTGTTCGAAATTTATTTGATGATTGACTAAAAGCCAAATTATGTGAGTACGTGTGCTTTACTTATTCAGGCTGCATCTATACTGGGGTGGATTTTTGTAAAAAGTTATGCGGGGTCTCAATAATAAGAAGGTACACTACTCTGTATCTACTATGGTAGTTGCAATTTTGTAAGTATTACAACAGTAACTCTGCGTAAGTTTCTGAAAGTTTTGGATTTTCTTTATCTGTGTTACTTGAGGCCTCTAGAGTCATGAAACGTTTTGTAGATTGAATCTATTCAGGAAACCTGTTGAAGTGCCACTGATATATTTTCTAATCACTCAATATGCATTTTCATATTTCACAGATTCTGTTTACTTTTTTTTTTATCTTTTTGTTAGAATCACATTAATCATTTGATTGCAGTGGGGAAAGTATGGAAAATGCACTAAGAGCTTGTTGTAAGGGAATCAAAATTGGCAAGCTACTTATTCATCGTGACGGTGATAATGGCTGGCAGGTCTGTGGACAAACTAACAAGTTCAATATTGTTTCTTTGATCCCTTTTTCTTCCATAGTTTCTGTTTTATTAGAGGTTTCTTATGATCAACCATATGCAGCTAATCTATGAGAAGTTACCAACTGACATTTCAGCCCGCCATGTTTTATTGCTTGATCCGGTCCTTGCTACAGGTTTGATCCTTTAATATGCATTGCATCCCTCTCTCTCTGTCACACACACACACCACACATACACACACACACATAGACACACGTGCGGCCACTTGCGTCTCCTTAATTTTATGAAAATGTTGGTGGTTAGGATTTAATTTTTATTATTTTTGCAGGGAATTCTGCTATTAAAGCTATCAATCTGCTCCTGCACAAGGGTGTACCTGAGTCACATATTATCTTTCTAAACCTTATATCAGTAATTCTTTTACTCAAAGACAACATTATTGGTATTGTATTTCTTTGCTTTCTCGGTTCTTATTATTATTATTATTTTCTAAATGGTACAGGCTCCTGAGGGAATACATGCAGTCTGCAAAAAATTTCCAAGACTCAAAATTGTGACCTCAGAGATTGATGTGGCACTTAGTAAAGAATTCCAAGTTATTCCAGGTATGGGAGGATTTGGGGATCGATACTTTGGCACAGTTGAAACAAATAACCATAATCCTTAGCTTCCGTAATTGTTGGGAATCAAGGGCTACCTCAGAAAGTCGACTTTGCTAGTCGCCACAATTCTTTTTGTTCACATTTTTTTTAAAAAAAAAAATTTGTGTTTATCCGGGTATTATTCACCTTCAACGGGGGTAGTTTTTTTTCTTCATGAGATATCCCTTTGAGGAGCAAAGAGTTGCAAGACAGAGGAAGGTTCTTACTCAAGAGTTAGATATTCAGATTAATTTTTTTATCCATGTTGGATCCTGAAACTTCAATATGTACGAAGATATGTAAATGGTGGCCCACTGAAGCCTGAAATTTGGTTGTTTCAGTCACTTAATTATTTATATGTAAATGGTGCCCAGTAAAGCCTGAAATTTTGATGTTTCAGTCACTTCATTATTATAGCTAGTTAAATATCAAAGGGAGTTGATCTATAGGATCTTTTACATGAAATATCCAAATTGATGCTTTGGATTTTTATACTAGTTAGAGGTTTTTAAGGATCTTTTATATGAAGTGTCCAAATTGATGCTTTGGATTTTTAGATTAGTTAGAGGTGTTTTAAGTTCATATTCTCTACAAAAGACACTCTTTTAGATTGTTCCATGAGGCAATACTCCCAAGAATGTTCCATGAAGCAATACTCCCAAGAATGTTCCATGAAGCAATATTCCCAAGAATGATCATCTCTTGGATCCAAATGCCTGAATTTTACTATATTAAACAGATTTGTTTTACCAAAACTTGTACACATGTTCATTACCCTGCCCCATTGTATCATTGAATGGGCAGTTTGCATTTGTCTTGTATTTGAATGGGATCTAGGTTGCTTGGAAATTGCGTTTTTCTACATTATTGTTCTTATGGCAACCGTTTTGGAATGGGCATCAACTAGAAGAAAAGTCTTGATGCTTTTTGTGCAAAGTTCAATTTCGTTTTTTTGTTTCTTCTATTCCCCTGGTGAATGTGTTCAATTATTAGCACAATCAAAGATCTTCAAATTACAAGATTCCAGGATGCCTAAATTGGTTGTAAAGTTGGTGATTAAATATCCCAGTTGCTGCTGAAGATCTGCATATGAGACATCGAACTTTCATGCTTCTATCATAGTTCAAACTTTTTGGAGAATAGAGTTATTTTCCTCCAAATGTGGAAAAAATCTTTACTAGTATACTAGGGAGCATATTGTAACTATGGTCCCTATTGAGTGTAATAGATGCTTATTACAAAACTCATGAGCTTAATTGCTGGTGGATCTTAAATATCAGGTTTTCATGGGAAGTGTTTTTTTACTTATTTTCCTGGAGAACCAGGGGTGTATGTGGGGTGAAGGTTTACAATTTACAAAGGGAAGTCTCATGAGTCCATTGAATTAATTTCTTACTATCAAATGCACCTTAGGCTGAAATCCCAGTTCAGCTGTGTAGGATGGTCCAACAAAAAGTTAAACCAGAGATTGAAGAGCTTTGAATCAACTAAAATCTAAAACAGAGATCGAATAGCTTTGAATTAATAGTTGAAGCAGAAAAGCTTTCAGGTTAGGCATATTATTCCAATATTAGGCATATTATTCCAATATTTGAACCATGGAAGAAGGTTGATTTCAACTCTAGGGCTCAAAAATAGGGGTTTATGGGGCGAACTTTCTAGGGAAATTATCGTTAATATACCCATATTTTAAGGAAATTGCAAAACAAAACTCCAACTTCCCAAGACCTCGTCCACACCTTTTTTATAAATTTTTGCTTTTTTTGGACGAAACTACCTTTTACTGTAGTCTTTGTATCGTAAATCATTAATTATTACGGTAATGTAATTACCGTAACAAATTAAGATATTATTATGATATTAAATATATTATAATAGTTTAAAGATATATTACGGTAAGTATAGTACTGTAATATATAAACTAAGCATTATGGTATTCTTAATACCTTAATGTTTTCAAGAGTCATTACGGCAATCGCATTGCCGTAATTGTTTGGTGTATAAACTCTAAAAACGAAACCCCCATTCTGCCACTCTGCCATATTTGTTCGAAGAAGTTACGGTCTTCATTCTGCCGTTAGAAGGCTGCTGGTTATGGTGTTCTAGAGCTCAGTCTCTCTCTCCCTCATCACATAATTGAGGTAAGAAATAGTTGTTGGATTTATAAATTAGAATGTACATTTATTTTAGGGATTAAAATTCGGGTTTTTTTTTTTGGCTTTATGATTGATGCTATAAAAAAAATAAAAAGAAAGAATTATTAGTGAAATTATGTTACGCGTTTCTAATAATTCTTATCTGCTGGTTACAGTGTTCTAAAGACTTTGTTCCGTTCACGGGTTCTGTGAAATTTACAATCCTCTCTCTCTCTCTCTCTCAATCTATCTGTTTATGTATCTTTCTATGTTAGACCCCCAAAGTTTACTAATTTCTATTTTTAGTTCATGGGTTATTTTACAGGGTTTGGTAAGTCTAATAAAATCATTACTATTTCTTTTTCTCTCTCCTTGCCCACCCAAATGTGATTTGTGGAGTTTATGCTTTACAATTTGAATTTATTTTGAGATTTTCATGTATCAGTTCTTCTGATTAGCTGCATAACAATAGATACCATGAATTAAGCACAGGGTTTTATAAATCGAAATTTGTTGGGGGATCGATTCCGAGACAACTAGTCTGACTCACTCAATTTCTGAGTAGGATTGTCATAATGGATACAATAGAACATAAGAAAAGATTTCAAAAATCGGGGGGAATCAAGCCATTCCAAGGTTCCTAGAATAGGAATCGCCCACCCACCTATTCTTAGCCAACTCAGATGATTCTAATAAAGCGTTGTGTTTTATTGTACAGAAATTGTTTTCATGAGTGTCTATCTTTAGCATATTGTAGGAAGAGATATACTAACTCTTTATAATTGCATATGTGCTCAAGAAAAGTTTAATATTTGATTTGAAACTAAATATTGTTCAAGCTTGTGTGATGGTATCCTGTATTTTGGATGAAAAATGAGTTCATTATTTTATTTGGTAATCCTTCCTTACATTTTTTGCTACATAAACTAGCATATGTCAATCACAATAAGACAAAATCAAAAAAAAAAAATCGACCATATGAATCTTTCTCGAAATGTTCCGAAATCCTTGCCGACTTGTGTTTTTAATGAGTGAAAAACATCAATGTCTATATCTCAAATTAGTGGGGTTTCTAATATTAATTATATTTGGAGAATCACCTCTCAACACAAACCTGGTAACTTCCATGTCAAATGATTTGCTTTCTTCTCCTAACCATCTCCTTAGACAATTTCTTTGTAACTCTAAAGTCATAACCAAGAACTTGGTTACTTTTTGCATACCAAATCCGTTCTTGAGAGCAGAAGATGCCATTATGTTGTCAATGAGCTTTGTCCATATTGCTGAGGATATAAAATATATAAGTTGTAGATATTAACCATTAATGCATCTTGCATGTGATATCAATTTATCATAAGAAAGAGTAACTATACAAAAATTCTAGTCTTACAAATCAATAAGTAGAAATAAGAGTTATCTTAAAACTGCTCTTAAAACTAAGGACACACCATTTGAAGAAAATGATGATCTTTCTCTCATATGCTGTCTCTAGAAAGTGAATGTGTCGTTCTCTTATGAATATGATAAATGTACACCATGTTCGACATGTTTTAAGTAGAATTGACATAAATGTACACAAAGTTATAAGTAGAATTGGCATAAATGTACACCAAGTTAGACATAGTTTTAAGTAGAACTAGCATCACATGTCATGTATTCAACTTTTATGGCATGACTTATTGTTTGGAATAGAGTGTAAGTTGCAGATATAGTGGTTTTAAATATAGGCACCAAATTCATCAAGGACTGAAGGAATACTTGCTAGGACATTAAAATATCACAGTAATGTGTCAATTACTATGAAAATGTTTAACACTTCCTCACTCTTAAAGTTGACAGTAATTACCAATGTCACTTGCACAATCACCAATAGTAATAATGATTAATCTTTGGCTTTTTTATTTATGATGGCTTTTTGAACAGTGATCGTGGCAGAAGATGCACCTTTCCCTAGAGGTCTTGAGAATCCTAAATTGTTCACTAGACAAAAAGAACATATATCACAAAATATCTGAGAAGGAGATATATGTACAAGTATTTAAAATTATATTATTTGTCTATCATGTTACTTAATCAATATATTTATTTTAGTATCTGAAATGACAAATTCTATTTCAGGATCGGGAAAATACCCTCAAGATTGATGAGAAGCCCAATGCAAATTCTTCATGACCGTTAACAAACAACGATCAAGTTGATTTGGTCAGGAGATCAAGATTGTATCCTCTGACCGTAATATCGATGAGCCAGCATGACCACGACACATTATTTACAATTATCGAGAGGTGGTGTGTAGAGATGAATACGGGGCACTTCAATGTAGACATCAAAAAGATAATGCCTACACTTGAAGATTCATGAAAAATTCTTCGGTTAAAGGTGACTGGTGTAGCCGTATTCGTGAGGGGAGTGGAGAATTACTAGGATCATATAGTCCACATGATAGGACAGCTGCCACCTAGTCGTAGCCATTCCATTATCTAACTGACATGGTTGAGGAAGAGTTTAATCGGCTACCACAGAACTATAACCACACCACTCTTCTACGATACCCTTGTGCTTACCTCTTATATCTAGTAATGTGTATAATATTTGAGGATTCCACAAATGGAATGGTCCTACAATCTATTTACAATTTTTTGAGGATATCGAAGTAGCTGGTCAGTATGCATGGGGTGCAGTTGCGTTAGCGTTTTTGTTTCGTGCCTTGTCAAAGGTTGTTCATGCTGATCTTCAATACCTAAGTGGATCAACCACTCTTTTGCTGGTAATGGTAGCATATTGATGTTTTGATAATTTTTATAAAGTTTGTGAAAGTGGATACAAAGACTAGAGCAAATTTTCAAGCCAAAAAACAAGGCAAAATGGACACCTTCAACAAGCCACTTGCTAAAAACCAAACTAAGTGAATAAGTTACAATCCTTTTACATAACAATTACAACGATTTCTAGCCTTGTATAACCACTATAAATAAACTCAAATACCAACCCCTTATGGGGCAATTACATATAAAGCATGACTAGCTTATGAATTACATTTTCATAGCACAAATTACATAAACTATGTCCCAAAGCTTAAATACATCATGCAACTAATCTAAAAAAAATTCTAAAGAATAAAATCAACTAAACAGGAAATTAGAATGCCAAATTAAAATAGAGAAGTCATGTTTTGAATCCCTTGTACCGCGGCCACGCAATCGGGCCCTATAAGGACTTAATTTTGTCTCTTCGGATTGTATAAAAGTGGTTCAATCTTACAAGAGTATCTAATCCAAATGGGAAGA